GGACACGATCGCAGTTTGTTGAATTCGCGGAATCGGTGTATAATAAAAGTTACCTCCCTTGTCTTTATCCGTGTAATTCATAGCTAATATAGCAAGAACGAGATTTATCAGTGTTATGTATTTACTTCATGAACAACAGGGTAGGTTTATATAAAATGATTAGATTTAGTAGTTAATTGATGATTAATTAAAACAAGTGCCGTTATTAAAATTTTTTGACTTTGACTATAAACGTCAAATGACTTTCCTATATGCTTTTGCGATGAGTGCATCTGTACACATCTTTCCGAAGGTATACACATCTCCGCAAAAAAAAAACACTGGACGCTAATAAATGTATAAATGTAGGTAGACGTAATAATATCCTTCCATATCTTCAGCAAGTTCGATAGTTATTCGAATGATATTTTTTTTAATCCAAAATTTCCATAAAAACTAATACGGATAATGCAAATGCAGGTAACAAATACACGTGGTAACGTTACGCACGGGTAATCAAAACCCGTGACCCATGTGTTTTAATTGATGAAACATGTATCTATTAAAACAGCTTTTTAACAATAAATACAGGTTATTAGTTGCTTATTCGAATTAAAGTAAAGCGTGATAATTAAGATAATTGAATGACAAGTACTACTCGTAATTACTGAATGACCATGTTTTGTACGTACATGTATATATACCTATCGTAGTTTATTCTCAAATTTCCAAATAAAACATTGAGGTTTAATATTTAAAACTTATTCACTGTGTCTTGAATTCACAGATTTATTAACACCGTGAATATAGCGAATATTAACACCGCGAGTTATTTTCCCCCTGTACAGTACCCCTGTATATGTCAACTCCTGTATTATCCATATCAATCCCTGTATTATCTATATCAATCCCTGCATTATTTATATCAATCCCTGCATTTCCTATATCAATTCCTGTATTATCTATATCAATCCCTGCATTATCTATATCAATCCCTGCATTACCTATATCAATTCCTGTATTATCTATATCAATTCCTACACTATCTATATCAATTCCTACACTATCTATATCAATCCCTGCATTATCTATATCAATCCCTGTATTATCTATATCAATCCCTGTATTATCTATATCAATCCCTGCATTATTCATTTAAATTCCTGCATTAACACACACACACACACACACACACCCTCACACACACAAAAACAACACTTTATTGTTGAAATTGTAAGCATTAAGATACTTGTATTTAAAAAAAAAACGTAGCCCATAGCATTATTAGTACCTATACACCTACAGAACCTTACAAGACCATTATATAAATATATATAGGCTAATGTTCTGAATTTATTTTGACAGATTTCTTAGAATGTGATGTGCAGTTGCTAAGAGGATGAAGAAATCAACTTCTTACAGGTTTTTATCTGCAATAATTAAAAAATAATATATATAGAAAAAAAAATTCATCTATACCCTACATTTATAGATGCACTTTTGAAAATATTGACATCATGGAATAAAGTTTGTTTTAAAAAAGAAAGGGCTAATATCAAACAATTAACAATAAAACTGTTATTTGAATATTTAGTTCATCTGAGTCACTAAGGTGACCTACATGTATTACTATCTGGGGCCCGTTTTACAAAAGAACTTACGACTAAGACCAAAATTTAATTCTTCTTATTACTTTCTAATTTACATTGATTTGAAAATGGTTTTAATCCTTTTAAAAAGAATTAAACAAGATATTTTTATGCTAGCAATTTCAAACAGAATAATTAATTTTACAAAATTTTACAATCAGCTGAAGATTTTGGTCTCAGTCATAAGTTTCTTTTGTAAAACGGGCCCCTGTTCTTTTCTGTCGTCTGTTGTGCATCATATGTTAATATTTGACTATTTTCAGCTTCCTCTCTTAAACCACTGAACCAATTTTAACCAATTTTGGCATGTAGCATCTATGGATGAAGGGAGACAAAATAGTGAATAACGTGCCCTCCCCCCCCCCCTTGCAGGCCTTTTGGGTGGGGCTAAAACCATCAAAATTATTGCGATCTTTAGAAATCTTTTTTACGTCTGGGCATCAAACAGGCATGATTGTAATAAGGATTGAGCCCTCTACAAAAAAGGCTCTATTATAAATGCATTAATTCTTTGAAAATCTTCTTCTCTTTTCCTGGGTACTATGTAAACAAACAAAGTGCACAGTTATGATGAGAAAGGATGCCTCTTCAAAAATTATGACGTTCATGGCCCCAGGGTTGGGAGTTATTGTGAAAGGGGGGCTCTATTATATAGTGATAATGCATAATTTCTGTGAAAATATTGATTTTTACTCCTGGTTACAAATCAAAAAATATATATATATATGATTATGATGAACAAGGGTGCTTCTTCCAGAATTGTTAGTTTCATGGCCCAGATCAGATGGTTAGATTTTGTGGAAGGGTGGGGCTCTATTGATAATATAGTAAAAATACATTATTTTTATTAATCTATTAAATAATATTGTCTTCTCCTGGATATTGAGCAGATAAACAAAGTGCATAGTTATGATGAGCAAGAGTCTCCTTCCAAAAACTTTAAAATTCTGAGTGTAGGGGATTCTGTTTTTTATGCCCCCCGTAATCGAAGATTCAGGGGCATATAGTTTTTGCCCTGTCCGTCTGTCTGTCTGTCTGTCAGTTTGTCCGCAAAAACTTTAACCTTGCCCATAACTTTTGATTGGTTAGAGCTATGGCTTTCATATTTCATGTATGTATTCCTTGTGACAAGACCTTTCTTTGGGTACCATCATATTTGTCCTTGACCTTAGAGTTTGACCTACTTTTGCAAAATTTTATGACTTTAACCTTGGCCATAACTTTTGAACAGTTGGAGCTTAGACTTTCAAACTTCACCTGTGTATTTCTTGTGACAAGACCTTCCTTCAAATACAAACAACTTTGACCCTTTGACCTTGACCTTGGAGTTTGACCTACTTTTGAAAAACTTTAACCTTGGCCATAACTTTTGAATAGTTGGTGTTAGGGCTTTCGTACTTCACATGTATATTCCTTGTGACAAAACCTTCCTTTGGATACCAACAATTTTGGCATTGACCTTGACCTTGGAGTTAAACCTACTTTAAAAAAAATTAAAATTTGGCCATAACATTTGAATGTTTGGTTCTAGGGCTTTCACATTTCATGATCATGTGTATCACTTGTGACAAGGCCTCCCCTTGGGCATCATTTGACCTTGACCTTGCCGTTTTACTTACTTTGAAAAAACCTGCGCCATAACTTTTCAACAGCTTGTACTAGGGCTTTCATATTTCACAGGTATATTTGTTGAGACAAGACCTTTCTTTGGGTACCAACATTTTTGATTTCTTGACCTGGAGTTTGACTTGCATTTGAGAAACTTTAACGTTCGCCATAAGCTGCCATAGGGGGGCATCAGTGTTTCACAAACACATCTTGTTTTTTTTTTTTTCCGAGGGAGGGGGTCTCTATTGATAATATAGTGAAAATGTGTTAATTCTTTAATTCTTTGAAAATCTTTTACTAAGTACATAGTTATAATGAGCAAGGGTACCTCTTCCAAATTTGTGAATTATATGACTCTGGGTCATGGGTTCTGGTTTTAGGGTGGGGCTGCGTTGAATCTATAGCGAAAATGCACAATGTCTTTGAAAATCTTCTTTGCTCCTGGGCATCTTGAAGGCAAACAGATTATAAGTTTTAATGAGCAAGGGTATTTTTACCAGATTTTTGAACATCTAGGCCATTAGATCAAATGTTCCGGTCTTGGGCAGGGCTCTATTAATTATTTTTTTCTACTGAGAAAAGTTATTCCCCCTTTGCCATTCATCTTTGATAATTATCACTGTAAATAATGTATTAAGTTAATAAAATAAGAGAATTATGCAAGAAATTTTATTGTACAATACAAAAAGTACTTTTCAGATTTTGGAAATAAATAATCTGTCCTAGAAAAGTTGGAAAATAAATAATCTGTCTTCAACCGGCAAGAAAATAAATAATCTGTCATTAGTTAGTGCTCAATAGAGATTTGGAGTTTATAGGACTTTTCTATGAATGGCATTAAAAGAAATAATCTGACTCGAAAATGTTGCTGCCCCCGAATCAAATAGTTGTTATCCTATTTCTCTTGCTTTTGGGCAACAAAACTTCATCTATCTATTCATTTCATACCTCTGTGGATCTTTTAAATAGTTGTATTATACTCAGGTGACCTTTAGGGCCCTTGGGCCTCTTGTTTAATTTCAAAATGTAGACATGATCTTGTCAATGTGTGAGTGTTTTTTTTTTTCCCCAAAATGATAAATTCTAATTTTATTTTCTTTACCCAGGACACAGAAACAAGATGAATAGAAGCTGAACAGTTGTTACCAGATACAAGAAATCAGGCTGGTATTTATTTCTCTGTTACTTTATATAACTGTGTCACAAACTCACAACACACTGTAGATCATACCTATCTATATAGTTTGGCACATCATCACAAAAATCTACATTGACATACTACACAACCTTGTAACATCTGAACTGATATATATGAAAGAAAGCAGAGTTTATTGTGATTATATTTTTGTATATTGTATACACGTAGTTGATACATTTGACTTGAAATGGTAGACATGATTTTAAATGATAATCTATAAGAATTTAAATCTTCAGTATTTTAACATAAATACATTTTATGTTTTACTCCATCAATATTTTATTTTAAGCAGACTTCATTGTGAATATTTGGACCCTGCTGTTCACAGAGAAATAAATAGAATTCTGCTGCAGTGTAAAGGTTTTTATATTTGTTTTTATTTTATTAATTGTAAGCAGAGTCAAGTTTTTGATCTAAATTAATTATATAAAGTGTATAAAGAAAATTTTTATCTAAACATTTAATTCTGTGTAAAGAGATGTGTAACTGATGTAGATGATTCTAGTACAATATTGTAATTTACAGAGAGATCTCCCTGACTGAGGAAATCAACACGGGATTCTGTTATAAAACCACAGGATAAAGATGAAATAAATGTCTGCTGTCAATGATGTATAGATTAGTGTTACAGAAATCTGTCACAGTGACAGGTGTTAGTGATTGTCATCACATTACCCGTGTATCATCAGACCGGGTCTGGATCAGTGATGATTATAACAATCTCATCTTGACAAACACAGCAGGTGATAAACTACATCACCTGACAGATATAGCTAGTGTATGGGGAGTACACACTGTGAATAATGACGATGATTTAATTTATATAGACAGTCACAGTAACATCAACAAACTGTCTACAGAGAACACAGTAAAGACTCCATTAATAAAGTACACAGCACCATGGAGACCACTGAGTGTCTACAGCTCCCCCTCCACTGGAGACCTGCTGGTCGGGATGTGTTATAGATATACAGCCAAGTTAGTGCGGTATAACTCCACAGGAGAACACATCCAGACCATACAGCACGACAACAACACAGGTCAGGGACTGTATAGATCACCTATCTACATCACAGAGAACCGCAATGGAGATGTTATTGTGTCTGACTTAGGCCGTGATGCTGTAGTGGTGACAGAACGGGGAGGAAGTCATCGCTTCTCCTACACAGGACCTCCATCAGGATCAGGACTATTACCATATGGAATCTGTACTGACGCGCTGTCACACATCCTGGTGTGTGATGATTACACCGAGTCAGTACAGATGTTAGACAGAGAAGGTAACTTTCTGTCACAGATACAGACATCACCACACGGGATAAACAGACCATGGGGCCTGAGTTATGATGATCACACACACCTACTGTGGGTAGGGTCAGCCATCAACAACACAGTCAACATATACAGAGTGGTAGATACACACTCTCTGACTGGTAAGTAACACTGTAGTTTGTTTAATTGTATTGTATAATTATAATATCAATACTAATTAATAACTACATTATGTTAGAGAGGTCATTTAAGAATAACTTTACATGAATGTAATCAAGTGTTTATTTACAAATGTTATAGTTTGATCACAAATGATTCCTCATTGTGTAAACAACAAACATGAGATGTTAAAGATGAAGTTAATAGATAGATTAATAAGAAATAATAGATTAACATCCAGTCTGTAATTAACTGTACGGTGTTGTGTGTAATTAACTGTACGGTGGTGTGTGTAATTAACTGTACGGTGGTGTGTGTAATTAACTGTACGGTGGTGTGCGTAATTAACTGTACGGTGTTGTGTGTAATTAACTGTACGGTGTTGTGTGTAATTAACTGTACGGTGTTGTGTGTAATTAACTGTACGGTGTTGTGTGTAACTCTTCACTCACTGATTCTTATTTCAAACTCTTCAGATGTGTAAATTTTTCTTAGAAATTTCTTATATAAAGTAGATACATAGATTTATACATTTTGTTAGACAAACTAAGTTTGATTTATAGATCCATGTATGATATACTGTCATTGGGGGAATTATCAGCTTGTGAAATGTTGTGCTGTTTTGTTTGAGAAATAAAATTGGTGTCGTATGGTAAATTTTATGAGAATTAGTGAATGGATTAAATTTTAAAATCTTTTCTAATTATTACAATATCCTAACCTTTATAATGTATTCAGTTTAAGTTATTCTACAGTCAGAACAGATGACATTTTGTACTTATGTTGACAGTTAGATATAGACACCATTGATATTGACACAGCTCTGTCTAGGAATGTTGTGTATTTCTGTAGCAGGTGTTCAGTAAATCTACACTGTGTACTGAGTTGACATTTTTGTGTATGAGAAAGTTCTAGATGAAATGTGGAGATAACGAAACAGTATTCAAGCTCAAAGTCCATAATGAAGTTTAAGATTCATGCCAATTTTATGAACAAAAAATTATTTCTTAGACACCAAAGAATGAGCCTGAATGCAACTGCATTGATCAATATTAGTAGCTTGCTAATGGAAGGGAGATAACTCAATTTTGAATTTGAAGGTGAAGAAGAAAATTAAGTTACCCCCCTTTTCATTATAAAGGTGTAAAAATAACTCCTGAAAAAAAAAATAACTTAGCCTTCTGCTTTGTTTCAAATTAGCTGGTCCTTAGCTGAAACTTAGAAATATAATTTTATTATTACTGCCTGTATCAAGTGTAAGTGCATGATATGGTGAAGGAGGAAGTACTGTATATTTATCATTAGAATCATTCTGTCCATTTGTCACCCTATGTATCCCAGTCACATGAATTTAAAAGACTGGAAGCCCTTAGCTGATACTGCACTGAAAGTGTTTCATTTGTACACTGTTACAAGCATTGAAGGTCACTGGCAGATATATGTAGGGTTGATTTCTGTGGTTTAAACACACTCAACTAAGTGTTGAGGCTTGGGGGGGGGGGGGGGGGGGTAATGTATGATATGGCTGTCCTATTTCAAGTTATATCAGTAATTTTTCATAATAGTGATGTAAGAACTTATACTTCTGAACACTTAGACTGCATATAACCTATTTATGAGGAAATTGTTGGATTGCTTTTATTTTTAATTTATACCCACCCTGAAGATTGTGTGTATGTCACTGTTTTGTGTTTTTTTTATCATTTATTGGAGGAAGGGGGGGGGGGAGGGTCTTGTAAAAGTGTTTCATCATGCTCATTCAGTGAATTTTCAATGGAGATATGTTAAAAAATCATTCTTGACACAAAGGTTGCATAGTACACGAGGGGGTGTCATAACTAAACAAAGGTCATGTGAGTATGGTTAAGGTCATCAGTACTTAGCTTATGTACATTTTTAATATATGGTGCATTGACCGTGAATGTTTTATGGAAGAAAGCAATTTAACATTGATTGCTCATGTATGTGATAATTAAAAGCTTTTCATTTGATCTGAGATGTTATGTGACCCAAACTTTTGTTTGCAAGCTTAAGAACATCATTTTGTGGGCATACTCACAGAGCCTGAACTTAATACCACAAATTTTAAAGTAGAAATAATTGTGGAGGATGCATTCAATATATCATTGATAACAGTTATCAATGACATTTAATCCCTAATGATATTTTTATATTGTTATATCTTATATGACAATATTGGAAACAAGAAATCCCCATACATAATCATTTTAGATCAGAAATCAGTGAGGTTTTATCACCACAAAACTTTCTCCCTCTGTATATCTTGGCATATAATCTTATACAAAGTTTTTCTAATGAATGTGAATATCTAGTCTTAGATTTGTTTCTAAAATTGTCTGGACTCAAAACATTTTGGCTACTGCAATATCATGAATATTGGGATTTCAGTTTGGTATAAAAAGGAAGAGTACTAAAAAGTCTTTGCTTTGTGAAGATTAATCAAGATTTATCAATTATTTACAAAATAAAACTTTATTCTTCTAACAGGACTCCCTCTGGAGGACATCAAATGCAAAAAGCACCCCAGAAGTCCCCTGGACCAGTTCTGTACCCCGTGTGGTGTTCCCTTGTGTGTGGAGTGTACCAGCTCTGAGGATCACAGAAGACATGACCTTAGAAATATAGAGGACTTGTTTGACAACATTCGCAGGATAAAAGGTAGGTGTTTGAAACTTCTTTAAAATTTTATAGCCAATGGAATATATTTTAAATATTTGACTATCATTCTGTTTTAATTATCAAATAAAATATTTATTACAGTGACCTTTAATGACCTGAGCCGAACACCAAAGGGATAATTTTCTGATCAAAGTTTGTCTGCCTTGTTGCCTTGTTGCCAGTAGGTTTGTCTGCAACCAAAGTTTTGGAGGAATATAAAAATCACATTGTCAATCTGTCAGTCTAGCTGTCCATATGTTCTGTCTGTGCAATCATGCCCAGACCAAAACTTCATTATGAGAAAACACTGAAAGCTTATATTGGGTCCAATGATTATGTGTGTTGACCTTGACCCAAGGTCACTTTAGCAAGTTCAAGGTCAAAATCACCTCGCTTAAATTCAGGAAGTGATGTATATTTACATTATTTAACTGATGAAGGGCTTTTACTAATAAACTTACAGAATTATACATGTGATGGAATTTTTGTACGGAGGCTCAGAGAGTCTTGCATTCTTTACTATTGCTCATGGAGAAATGATCGCCATCTAGTGGCGGAAATCAATAACTTGATGCCATCGGTTCTCAATCGCAACTTCTCGGGCCTTTCCAACAAGTGGAAAAAACAACCTCAAATGTGTTACGTAGGTGTCCATGACACCCCCTTTTCAGAAGCATTTGAATAAATGTACTACTAGGTAGATTTGTTATCTGTACAGGATGGAGCTGAAAGACATTGAACGTAAGGATATTATCTAAAATATACCACAGAAGGGACAATATACTGTGTGTATTCAATACTTAAATAAATAGGAAGCAACTCCATTTTGTATGAAATTTTAACATCCGGTGATGTATATACATTTGAGGTGTTTTTCCAAAGTTACCAGAAAGACCCGAGAAGATTCAACTGCATCGGCTCTGAAAGAAGAATAAATGACACCTCTACAACATGTACAAAGGAGATTGAAACAAGAATTTTGCTTATAGTTTTTGATAAGATTTTTTGATTATTATGTGCAGGCATTTTTAAACCAAGTGCAATTTTGAATTTTGATTATATCATGTATATGTGGGCATTTTAGATGTACACGAAATGTCGGCTCTTTCTACTCCGATATTTATTTTACCCGATTTTTAATCAAAATAAATATACATATATTTGTAGTACTTTATATGATTAACCAATTCACTTGCACAATATATGAGAAATTTGTACAATTTAAAATATATGTTAATTTGAATGTTAAAACGCTTGGAATTGTTATTCCCCAAATCCTGAAGTACTTTCAGGACACTGATTATTTTGTTTTATACTTTGATTTATTTATGGATGTCATTCATTTGAGATCTGAGATTTTGTTTTTATTTTGTAGATGGATATATATTTCTGATGTCCCTTCTTCTTTCCAATTCCTACAAAATAAGCATGAAAGAAAGAAACTGGATGAACAAATATAATGCTGTTGCCAAAAGTTTTCATTCCAAGAAAATCACAAAGCCATTTGCTCTTACAGATTTAGAAAAATACAAACCAATTCTGAAACTCGATGAATTAGAGATCAGTTTTTCAACTGAGCTCTTCAAAAATATCAGTTTCCTGAAATTTTCAAAGAGTTTTGGGTTAAACTTTACTGATATTTTCTTGACTTGGGCAGAAAAAGAAAACATTGCTGAGTACTGTAGATCCTGGAATTATCCAAGAAGAGAGGATGAAGTTTGTTGTTGGTTACTGCCAGAAAAAACTGAGGAGTTGTTAGAAAGACTTGGGGAAGATATTTTCACACACCCAACAATGAAGGACCAGTCATTCAATGAAGCTGTATTTAGAAAATGTAGGTCTATTTTCAGCTCACCTGAACTAGTTAATCGGATAAAGTTTAACAACAGAAGTGTGTTTGGGTGATTTGAATTATTTGTCCGTGATTTCATCTATAACTAAACTTTTTCAGATCTGTTTTTTTTCTTTTAATCCTTTACATTGATGTGGTAAATTAAACAAAATAAACACTTAGCTCACATGAGCCATTCATGCAGTCGAGCTTTTCATTGAAGAATGGTTAGAGTCCTTTTGTCATCTGTAGACTTTACAAATGGGATCTTCTTTTTTTTAGAATCTTTTTGCTGAAATCAATTAAACTTACATAAAATCAATTTTGGATAATTTGAGAAGGGATACATTTAAGAATTTGCATGTCATTTTTTTTAGCTCACCTGAGCTGAAAGCTCAAGTGAGCTTTTCTGATCACATTTTGTCCGTCTTCCGTCTGTCCGTCTGTCTGTCTGTCCGTCCGTCTATAAACTTTTCACATTTTGGACTTCTTCTCAAGAACCACTGGGCCAATTTCAACCAAACTTGCCACAAAGTATCCTTGGGTGAAGGGGATTCAAGTTTGTTCAAATGAAGGGCCACGCCCTCTTTCAAGGGGAGATAATAAAGAATTAGTGAAAAATCAATAGCATCTTTTAAAAATCTTCTTCTCAAGAACCACAAGGCCAGGAAAGATGAAACTCATGTGGAAGCATCCTCAGGTAGTGTAGATTCAGGTTTGTTCAAATCATGACCCCCGGGGGTAGGGCTGGGCCACAATGGAGGATCAAAGTTTTACATAGAAAAATATAGGAAAAATCTTTAAAAATCTTCTTCTCAAGAACAGCAAAGCAATGATGAGTCATATTAATATGGAAGCATCCTCAGGTAGTGTAGATTCAAGTTTGTTCAAATCATGACCCCGGGGTAGGGCGGGGCCACTATGGAGGATCGAAGTTTTACATTGAAAAATATAGGAAAAATCTTTAAAAATCTTCTTCTCAAGAACAGCAAAGCCATGATGAGTCATATTTATATAGAAGCATCCTCAGGTATTGTAGATTCAAGTTTGTTCAAATCATGACCCCGGGGTAGGGCGGGCCATTATGGAGGATCGAAGTTTTACATAGAAAAATATAGGAAAAATCTTTAAAAATCTTCTTCTCAAGAACAGCAAAGCCATGATGAGTCATATTTATATAGAAGCATCCTCAGGTATTGTAGATTCAAGTTTGTTCAAATCATGACCCCCGGGGGTAGGGCGGGGCCACAATGGAGGATCAAAGTTTTACATAGAAATATATAGGAAAAATCTTTAAGAATCTTCCTCTCAAGAACAGCAAAGCCATGATAAATCATATTTATATAGAAGCATCCTCAGGTATTGTAGATTCAAGTTTGTTCAAATCATGACCCCTGGGAGTAGGGCGGGGCCACAATGAAGGATCAAAGTTTTACATAGAAATATATAGGAAAAGTCTTTAAAAATCTTATTCTCAGGAACAGCAAAGCCCTGATTGGTCATATTTATATGGAAGCATCCTCAGGTAGTGTACATTCAAATTTATTCAAATCATGACCCCCGGGGGTAGGGCAGGGCCACAATGGAGGAACAAAGTTTTACATAGAAATATATAGGAAAATATCTTCTTCTGTAGAACTGTACCCCAGGGATAGGGTCCGGCCACAATGGGGGATCGAAAATTTTATATAGGAACATATAGGAAAATATCTTCTTCTCAAGAACTGAAATCATGTTAGTCATTTTGATATGGAAGCATCCTCAGGTAGTGTAAATTCAATTTTGTTCAAATGATGAACCCCGGGGGTAGGATGGGGCCCAATGGGGGATCCAGAGTTTTACATAAGAAAAATATTTCTTCTCAAGAAAAGAACCCCCCTCCCCCATTAATCTTTTCAATACTGAACTGATTTGTGCTTTTGCCTAGCCAATGTGCTCAGGTGAGCGATGTGGCCCATGGGCCTCTTGTTCAAAGATAGATTATATGCTACTATTGAACCACGGTTTTATTCTTGGTCAGAATGTAACACCAGAGAGTAATTCAAAGTTTTAAAATGTAATGTCTGGCAAAGCCAGAATCAAAGTTACAAGTGGGGGTTTAATATGTAATCTACATGGTATTTTTGTCACAATTACAGCTTAGTCAAATAAGTACCCAATTAAAATTGTGCTATATCGATCAAATTCAATATGATTATTATTTTACTTGTATTGGCTAAAAATCATTGCTTGACAAACAGACCTATTTTTTAAAATGTATAATGTTTCATAACGGTAAAGGTATTCTAATTTAATTAACTAAGAAAAATTGCCCATCTGCCTTTCCTCCTTTTAATTGACATACTCATTAGGGATAAATACGTCACTGAAAATTCTACATATGATATTGTTTACAGAATTTAAAATCTCGAGAATAGGAAAGCTATTTTTATGATTGTTTTTCATCATGCATTTGACTGCTTTGCAGCTTTGTAATATTAGAGTTTTGTCATTATAGTTGGAATACCAATGCAGATTATCTTAAGGGGAGACAAATCAGTGAAGAATTTCATTGAGAATTTAGAGAAAGGGAAGACAACCATGTACCACGCCACTGGAATGATAATAGGATGTGCAGGTAGTGGTAAAACCACATTGTTAGAGAGACTGAAGGGTATTGACCTGGAAGAAATAAAGAAAAGTATCGGTTCAACCAGGGGAGTCGATATCCACACGGACATTTTTGATGTGACAGATAGCATCCAAGGTATTCTTTATTGGTTGTGTTCATTGATTGTGTTAATTGCTACTGTATGATGGACTTCAATTAAAACAAAGCAAATCATTTCATAAGAGTCACGATAAGGCACACAGAACTTCAAATTAAGGAATTGTTTAAAAAATCACCTAAATTTTATTTCAACAAAGAGGTCGTTTTTAGCTCTACTGAGTCTATGCTCAGAGAGCTAATGCTATGGCCATTTGAGCGGTGTGTGGTCTGCGTAAACTTTTTAGAATATAGGCCATATCTCAAGAACCCCTTGGCCAATTTATGTCAAATTTGCATCAGAGTATCCTTGACCAAAGGGCTCATGTTTATATTAAAGCAAGGGATTTAACCCTTTAACTAGGGAAGATAATTAGGGAAATAGAAACAAAAGTACTGGTTGCTAAAAATCTTCTTCTCACGAACCACTGGGCAGATTATCACCAAAATCACACAACAGGATAAAGATATTGTAAACCTATGGGGCATAGAATGGACATTTTATCTGAACATTTTAAACTTGGACTATATTCATAACATAATTATTTTAGTTATTTATAGTGACAGTAAAATAAAATAAAAATTTGTTAAACGGGGATATACATTGTTTGTGTACCACATGCAGTGATTTTATAATTGGAAAAGAGACTTTAACATCATGAAGTATAATTATATTGTTAGAACAAATTAATGTTTTTATTGGTACACTGAACTATAATTTTGTAAACTCATTTGTAATGGAATTGATCAGAATAGACCAATCAAGCCCATTGATACTAAGTAATAAACTTTGAAAGGAAATGTAAAGTACTATTAAGATTCTTGATTAAGAGTAATAAAATTGGGAAGTTTGAAACAGATAAGTAAAAGAGCCTAGGGCTAGAACTCCTGTGGTGCAGAGATGGGGACTGAGTCCATAAATATTATTAATGAAGGTATACCTGGATTGGAGGGTGATGTCATGTTGGGGTTCATAGGTCAACGGACAGACCGACGGACAAAGTGTAGGTGGCATAGCAATGGTAAGTCAGCCAATGAAAAGTACTTTTATATCCGGGACCATGAATACCCTCTGAGCACAAAATACCCTGTTTTGCCGGAAAACGGCACTCAATTCTATTCTACTCTATTCTTTGACTCTATCCTTCTTTCTTTTGACCATTCATTAGGCATCTATTGACTCTTCTGATTACAAATTGAACTCTAATGTTTCTTGGACATCACCTTAATTATTACTCTCGGAGTTTTAGTTCTACGCTCACAACGGATGATCAAAGTTTAACATAGGAATGCATAGGAAAATTCTTTAAAACTCTTTTTCTTAAGAACAGCAAAGCCATGATTGGTCGTATTTTAATGGAAGCACCCTCACCCTTGTTTACTGTAAGGACTAGGATCATCAAATCTTGTCAGTTGATGCATTTAAGGACCTCATATCATGTTAACTCAAAAGTAGGTCATGGTGACCTACTTTTCAAATTTTGCGGCCATTCTTTTTCAAAATCATTTAGAGGCCTATTTTGAACAATATAAGGCCTATGATCATGAAACTTTGTCAGTTGTTGCATCTTGGGTCCTTATAGTAGGTCAACTAAAGGTAGGTCACCTTGACCTATTTTTTGAATTTTATGGCTAATCTTTTTCAAAACATTTATAGTCATTAATTCGAATACTGAGAGGTTTAGAATCATTAAATCTTGTAAGATGATGCATCCTGGGGCAATAAAACATATTTATTTGAAAGTAGGTCACAGTGACCTACTTTTTGAACTTTGCAGGCATTCGATTTCAAAGCGTTTTAGAGGCATATTTTGGACATTTTAATTTTTATATTTCCGGTACTAATTGGCCTAGAATCATCAATCTTTGTCAGTTGATGCACCTTAGGTCCTTGGAGTAAGTTGAATGAAACGTAGGTCACCCTGACGTACTTTTTAAATTTTATTGCTTTATTTAAATATTTTTAGGTACTAATTGGCTTAGAATCACCAAACTTTGTCAGTTGATGCATCTTGGGTCCGCAGAGTAAGTTGACTGAAAAGTATATCACTGTGACCTACTTTTTGCAATTTTATGGCCTTATTTAAGAATATCAGGTACTTCTTGGCTTAGAATCATCAAACTTCAGTTGATGCATCTTTGGTCCTCGGAGTATGTCGACTTAAATGTGGCTAACTCTGACCTACTTTTGGAACTGTATGGCTATATTTAAATATTTTTGGGTTCTAATTTGCTTAGAGTCATCAAACTTTGTTGGTTGATGCATCTTGGGTGCTTGGAGTACTGTGACTGAAAAGTAGGTCACTGTGACGGTGTGACCTGATTAAATATATTTTCGGGTACTAATTGGCTTAGAATCATCAAAGTTTGTCAGTTGATGCAACTTGAGTCCTCAAAGTACGTCAACTGAAAAGTAGGTTGCCTTGATCTACGTTTGGAATTTTAAGATGATGTTTTATTATTTTAGATACTAATTGGCTTAGAATCATCAAACTTTGTCAGTTGATGCATCTTTGGGCCTCGGAGTGTGTTAACTGCAAAGATAGTCACCATGAACTACTTTTGAAATTTTATGGCTATATTTAAATATTTAAGATACTTTTTGGCTTAGAATCATCAAACTTTGTCAGTTGAGGCATTTTTGGGTCTCGGAGTATGTTTACCAAAAATTACGTCATGGTGACCTACTTTTGGAATCTCATGGCTCTATCTGCATATTTAAGATAATAAGGGGCTTCAAATCAAACTTTGACAACTGACGCATCTTGGGTTCTCAGTGTGTTTTAACTAAAATTTAGGTCATGATGACCTACCTTTGGAATTTCAATGCTCTATCTTAATATACAGGATATTTGGAGGCTTCAAATAGAAGTGATAGGTTGTACAGTTATACAGAAGAGTGATTCAAAGCCCTTGGGATTCTTGTTTGTTGTATATTTTGCGTTATCATAAACACTTTTCCGTATCTAAGTTTAATTGATTAATTAATAGACTAGGATATATACTTTACAAAGGATGTTGAATAGTTTCTCTACTGTACAATATAATTCCTGTGACAAGAGGCAAAAATATTAATAAAAAAGTCTATCTTTGTTCAAATTGAGAAGAGTTTTTGTAACCCTCCCCAGCTTGACCTTTTATAAAACATAGGTTATATAGTGATGTGGATGTCTATCTTTACATCCTACGTCAGTTTGTTACGCTTTGAGGTACCCGTTTCTTATCTGCAACTCCTCTAATACCACTGAATAAAATGTAAGGAGACTCACAGAATGTTTGTTGCATTATTATAGTATAATTGTGACCTGTTTTATTTTTTATCTCTCCTGAGCCAAAGGCTCAAGTGTGCTTTTCTGATAACATTTTGTCTGGTGTTCGTCTGTCCGTCTAGCTGTCTATCTGTCCATGTGTCTGTAAACTTTTTACTTTTTCACTTTCTTCTCAAGAACCACTGGGCCAATTTCAATCAAACTTGCCACAAAGTATCATTGGGTGAAGGGAATTCAACTTTGTTTAAATGAAGAGCCACACTCTCTTCCAAAGGGAGATTATTAAAAATTAGTAAAAAATTAATGACATCATTTAAAAATCTTCTTCTCAAGAACCACCGGGCTAGGAAGGATGAAACTCATGTGGAATCATCCTCAGGTAGTGTAGACTTAATTTTTTTTTTTTCAAATCATGACCCCCGGGGATAGGATGGGGCCACAATGGACGATTAAAGATTTTACATGGGAATATTAGGGAAAATCTTCTCAAGAAATATAATGTCATGATTGGTCATATTTATATGAAAACATCCTCAGACAGTGTAGATTCAAGTTTGTTCCAATCATGACCCCTAGGGGTAGGGTTGGGCGACAATGGACGAGCAAAGTTTTACATAGCATTATATAGGAAAAATATTAAAACTTCTTCTCAAGAACAGCAAAGCCATGATTGGACGTATTTATATGGAAGCATCCTCAGGTAGTGTAGATTCAAGTTTGTTCTAATCGTGAGCCTTGGGTGTTGGATGGGGCCACAATCGAAAAGTAGAGTTTTACATGAGTGTATATAAGAAAAATCTTCTTTTCAAGAATAGCAAAGCTGTGATTGCTTATTATCTATTCAGAAGTATCCTCAGGTAGTGTAGATTAAAGTTTGTTCAAATCATGGCCCCCAAGGATACGGTTGGGCCACAATGGATGAGCAAAGTTATGCATAGGGATACACTGGGAATTTTAAAAAAATCTTGCTCAAAACAGCTAAACTTTGGTTGGTCTCATTTATATGGAAGCATCCTCAAGTAGTGTAGGTTCAAGTTTATCAAATCATGACCCCTGGGTGTTGGGTGGGGCCACATGAAAGGTTCAAACGGATAAAAAAAAAAGCCACAGTAAGTCAAAGAAATACGTAAGCATCCTTAGTAAGTATAGATTCAACTCAAGTTTTGTTCAAATAATGCCCTGTGGGGATCATTTTGTGAGCTCGGTGCTCACAGTACCTCTAGTTTATATTTTTTAATTGCAGATTTATTTAAAGTAGCGTAAAAGTCTATTTGCATAAAACACAGGGACAAAAAAGTGAGAAGATGTTAAACAAATTGCATTAATTTTCATTTGCAGCTAATTCTTCAAGCCAACAACAACGCTTTAAACTTAGACTTGATAAAAACAACCTAAAACAGAGTGTCCCTGAATATCATTCAGAGAATGCAGCTGGTGATGGGGAAACGCAGGAAAAGATGGAACCAGTTGATGATGAGAGCAATACAATTGAAGCATCAGACAGTGGACAGATACCACATGATGATACCGACATTAAAACTACCTCTTCCTTTGAACCACAAGGGACCACATCACCAGAAAATTTAGTAGAAGTTATGAAGGAAAGCAAAGATATTCCACATAGTTCAGAAATTTCTGGAAATTTGCAGATAGAGGCAAAAAACATTTCAGAAGATCCAGATAAAAAAATTACCATGTCTGACTTTGCGGGACAGTGCGCCTATTATGCCTCACACCAGATTTTTCTGAGTCCACGGGCATTCTTTATTCTGGTGCTCAATATGGAGAAGAAGTTTGATGATAAGGTTGGAGAAGAAGTGTGTTGTCAGGAAGGCTCTGTTTATGGGGGATGGACACACAGAGGTAATATTTTTATTATTATGGCAAAAAAAAAATAGTTTTTCAAGCACCACCACATCAGGTCAAAAACTATCGCATTGATAAACTATTAATTAACTCTTGTATCCTAAATAAGAATTACTTTTCTATTTGTTTGTCCTTCTGTTCAGCTCTATGAAGGCAATAAGTTTGTTTATGAGAAAAGAAATGAGAGAATCATATATGATGCTTATATTGCATAATAATATCCCATTTTGAAAAGAGACATTAAGGCATGGCATTCATGTCAATCCGTCCGTCTGTCTGTCTCTTAGCTCTTTAACTCACCAGAGCTGAAAGCTCATGTGAGCTTTTCTGATCACTTGTCCATCTGTCTAGCTGTCTATCCGTCGGTCTGTAAACTTTTCACAGTTTCAACTTTTTTTCAAGAACCGCTTGGCCAATTTTAACCAAAGTTGGCACAAAGCATCCTTTGGTAAAGGGGATACTAAATGTTCAAACAAAGGGCCTGGGCTGGGATTCATAAAACTTCTAAGATTATTCTTAAAAGTTGCACTTAAGTACTAAAAAAAATCTTAGCTAAGAAAAAATCTTAAGTATCAATTCATAAAAGTTCTAAGTACAATTCTTAGCTAAGTTTGAATTCTAAGAAAATTAGAACACTTAAGTTCAATCACCCTAGCAACGCATAGAAATTCCCGAACAAAAAAGAGCGCTCTTATGTGATGGAGGTATTTGTTGTCAAATACAGTTTATAAATAGATCTAGATACAGACGAGAGATGGCGTCCGATGAAAAACGAGAAAAAAGAGGAAAGCAAACTGGACACAGGATGAATGTTTGATTCTAGCCACCTTAGTAAATGAAAAGAAGCACATTCTGCGTTCCAAATTAGGGCCTAACCTTACATCTAAAATGAAAAAAGACACTTGGGAGAGGGTGACGGAGCAACTCAACGTGTCGTCAAGCACGCCGAGGACCGTCGAAGAAGTGGAAAAAAAATGGCAGAATATCTTGTCAACAGCCAAATCTGAGATTTCCTCTTACAGAAAGGAGGCAACTGCCACAGGTAACACTAATTCAAGTTATATATGATTCGACCTAATTGACGAACTTTGCAGATGTGAAGCGCAATAACATGAATAGATAGTGGTGTAGATTACGTATGTAAAGTGCCTTGTATCATGGCTGTGGTGTTTTTCCTTTGAAGTAAAGTGTACAATGGAGATACACCTATGGGCGGAGCCAGCAAAACTGTGCCGTGTAAATAAATTATTGAACACCAAGGCGATTTCAACATTTTAAATTAGGCCTACATGTATTTTGAAGAAATACAGAATAAAATAGGCTTTGATATATACAAAGACAAAATTTCTGAAAATGAAATAAAGGTCTTTCACATTATAAATTACAGTGCACATGTATCCCAAAATACGAAATGTTTTTACAGCGTTTTTGCTCATGCCACAGCTCTCGAATATGTCAAATGATCAATGGGTATCTTTTTTTTCCTTGACTTTCAATTAACACCTGAATTTCCCTTCATCAACTTTGAATTTTTCATCCTTGAAATCCGAAGGTTTTCTTATGAATTTCATTAACAATCCGTTTTTATATTAAGTTGGAGAGCTGCAATCCGACGTTCTTTCTCATGAACACGCACATAAAATGTGCAAATTAAAAAAAATACTGGCGGGAAGGAGAGAATATCCATGCGGTCACCTGACAAAAACTAGATTTTTTTTATCGGTGTAATTAAAAATCATGCTTGAAAATTTGGGACAGAACAGTTATTGACGTTTTGATTGGCCATGATACAAGTAAGTTACTGAATATTTATTATGGTGTATCCTGATTTATTTGGATGAAGGGGCGGAGACTCGTGCTTCGCACTCGTCACCGCCCTTCGTCCAAATAAATCAGGATACACCATAATAAATATACAATAACTATTACTTGGCATTTGGATCAATTGGTATAAATTTATATTTTTTGTAGATGTACATGCATGGCAATGTGTTATTTGCATGATTAGCTTATCAATTTCTGTATTACCACAGGCGGGGGACCTCCCTCAAAACCTCTCAGTGCTGTAGCAGAGACAGTACAAATGGTAATTGGGGAAACAAATTCTATAATAAGTGGGATAGATGGAGGCATTGACTCTTCAGAGGTTCTACATCTTTTTACAGATGAAAATGTTTGGTAAATAAAAGTAATGTTCTTCCATTACCATATACTATACATTGTATAATCAATTTTAGTTTCTCAATTCGATCAGTATGCATGCAGGTATGAGAAATAAAAAACTTTAAAAGGGTCTAGAAGAAAAGTGTTTGATTCTGCTTTCAGGCTAAAAACAAATATATGGTAATGAAGAGTAGGAAATCAATTAAGAAATATTTCCAGGACTTCTTTACAAAAACAAAACTTCTAAGTAGCACTGATGACAAAAGAAATAGTTCTTTAAAACCTTTCTTAAATTCAGATCTTCACTGAAAAAAGCAGTAAAAAACATTAGGGTCAGCGTTATAAATTAGGGTTGTTTGGGAAAGCAGAAAGAAAGATATTTTTCTTCTAGGAAATAAATTGTGAATTGAATATAAGGTAAAAAAATTTTTTAGGAGAATAAGGAATAAAATGTTTTGGAAGTCATAAACATTATCTTCAATGAACATAAGACTTTCCTTAAAAAAAGATAAACAATGTGAATAATTATAAAAGTTGATGGTCTTTTAATTGTTTCAGTTCCATTCAGTTTTTACAAGAAGCAAGTTCCAACAATCATCAGCATGTATCATCAGCATCAACTAGCATTCTGCCACTATCCCCTGGTTTGTTATCACCAACTCCTACATCGACTTCGCCATTGCCTGTGGTGACACAAAAGTCACCTTTGTTGCCCCGCACAATAGCACCAGTAATGTCAAGAAAGCCATCTCAAAGCAAGCAAGATTTGATTGAGGAGTTGACTGTAAAGAAGCTAAAATTAGAGATAGAATATTTCAATTTGAAAGTAAAGGCCCTCCAACGTAAATTGGAAGAGTGAGGATTGAAAATTTTGAAGTGACCTTTTACAATAAAGGAGGAATACCGAACCAAAATGTTATATAATGAATCTTTAAAGACACTATCTCTCTTTTTAATTCAGCTTTATTTCAATCTGGATTGGTTCAAATTTTAAAAATATCTTATATGTAATCAAACCATTTTAGCTCACCTGAGCTGAAAGCTCAAGTGAACTTTTCTGATCACCTGTTGTCCGTCGTCTGTCCGTCCGTCCATCTGTAAACTTTTCACATTTTCAACTTCTTCTCAAGAACCACTGGGCCAATTTTAACCAAACTTGGTACAAAGTATACTTACCTGAAAGGGAGCTTAAATTGTTAAAATAAAGGGCCAAGTCCAAGTGTGGTATTCCTTCTTAAGGATGGATTATAATTGCAGTATATAAAGAAATCTATACATACTTTTTATCTCACTTGAGCTGAAGGCTAGAGTGTTTCTGATCGAAGAGTGTCCGGCATCTGTCCGTCATTTGTAAACTTTTCACATTTTCGACTCCTTCTCAAGAACAACAAGGCCAATTCCAACCAAACTTGCAACAAAGCATACATGGGTGAAAGGGATTCAAGTTTGTTTAAGTGATGTTGCACACCCTCTTTCAAGTTGAGATAGTTAAGAATTTGTGAAAAATTAAAGGCATCTTTTTGAATTTTCTTCTCAAGAACCATTGGGCCATAAAAGAATAAGAAGAAAAAAGACTTCATTAAAGGTTCATTTCATAGTGTAGATTCAAGTTTGTTCAAATCATGCCTCATCCCTAGCCCCCTTTTTTTGAAAAAGGGGGGGGGGGGGGGGGGGGGGTTGGACTACTATATATTTGATCTATTCAATAACCGATTTCTGCTTTTCTCTAGCCAAAGTCCACAGGTGAGGGATGTGGCCCATGGGCCTCTTGTTAAATACTGTGCATATTATTGTTGTACCTATCAGATTTTAAATGATATTTATTAAGATATAAAATTTTATATTTGACCTCAAATAAGTCAAGATAATGGCTCCTCACATGTTAAGTGTGTTCATGAATATAAAATATTAATTGTTGACAGTTTACTTTGTTCATTTGTGATGTCAAAAGTGATTTTCAGCAAACTGCTGTCTGTACAATGTGCCATTAATGTTGTTGCCTCGAGCAGCACCATCATTTCCTGCTTGCATGTGATCCTGAGCATAATCATCACTATCGTCTTCATCATTGCTGTCATCATCATCATCAGCAGCAGGAATTGGAATTTGTCGATCTTTACAAATATTATGGAGGACCGCGCATGCTATCACAACCTGACATGCCTTCTGAGGCGACAATCGTATCTCTCCATGCAGAACATGAAAGCGGCGTTTGAACTGGCCTATCCCCCTTTCAACAATGCTCCTAGTCCTTTTATGTGCACTATAAATAAATAAAGCTATTTAACTCACAAGGAGATTTGATATATGTTGCCATATATACTGTACATGTATTATGTGTATTTTTTTATTACCGATGTTTTAAGTACTGTTTCATCTCTGTTTTAAGTCATGTTAAATGATTACAACGAAGAAACTGACACAGAATGGTGGACTACCAAATTTTTTTCTTTGAATGCTACAGCAAATTTTTATTTGGTCACACATGTAATTTGGAACCATTAATTATAGCTTCGTTTATACAATTACTTTATATTGCTGTGTATAGTAATGTAGTCTATGGCTCAATCATAGCATCCCTATACTATTAAATTCATAAATATTATTGTGCCTTTTGGTGAAAAAAAAACCTCTAGTGTCTCAGGCCAAAAATTTCCAAATTAAATGTGGGAGACAGAAATTTTTTTTTTAACAAGAGCTTTCTCCTTTTTTTGTGTTAAAAGTTATGATATTATACATTTTTATACTCCACCTACTCATAAAACTCGAATAAAAGTATAACAAGAATGGGAATGTATAGGTGACCGTGACAAGGGAAATAACTTTTTTCTTTTAAAATAAAAATGGCATATTGAGTTATTCCCCTTTCAATGATCAGTGCCAATGCTGTGGGGCCCGAGAAACTAAAGATTTGTTTTTGTTAACCCTATCTTGGCTTATTCATATATTCAATGTATTATACATACTTGTTGTAATTTGTCTGTGGCCCAGGCTGAGGAATCCTAAATGGTGTTAGTAGCCATCTACGAGATGGGTAGCCACTGTCACCCAACAAATGTGTGTGAACAGGAATGTTGCCATTTTCGAACAGGACTCGAAGCCCACTTTCATTTAATATGCGTGCATCATGGGTCGAACCAGGCCATTTTGCAACAATGTCAATCAGTTTGTATTGGGTATCAAAGACAACTTGCACATTCAAACTATGGTAATGATGTCTATTGACAAACTCATTCTCATTGTTTCTTGGAGCAATTATTTGAACATGGGTGCCATCTATGGCACCAACAATCCCAGGGAACCCTGCTATCTGAAAAAAATGTTCCTGATTTCGTCGAATTGCATCGGGTGATGTTGGAAATTTAATAAATCTACGCACCATTCGGTCTGATGACAAACTTCTTATGGTGCAAGACATGGCTCTCGATACAGAAGATTGAGAAACTCCCATATCATCCCCATTACAAAGCTGCATCTTGCCAGTTGCTAGGAATCTTAGGGTTAATAAAACCTTTTCTGTAGATGTGAGTGCATGATTCCTAATGGATGCAGATCTAATTTCATTTCCTATTAACCCTTCAACAAAGTTTATTCCAGCAGAATCAAGTCTGAACCTTTTAACCAACTCCATATCTGAATATTCATTGAAATAATCTCTTCTTTCCCTGAAATTTCTTCTTTGAGCCGCCATTTTGTTTAGAATTAAGAGAGAACTTAAGAAATACTTATATACTTAAGACACCTCTTTACTTCCCTTAACTTTAAGTGAATACTTAAGCACTAAGTTAGTTTATGAATCACGCTTAAGTATTTCTAACAAATTTAAGTAATACTTAGAGTACTTAAGTAAAAAATCTATAACTTAAGTATTTTCTTACACTTAAGAATAATCTTAGAAGTTTTATGAATCCCAGCCCAGGTCCTCTTTAAAGGGGAGATAAACAAGAACAGACAAAAATAGGATGGAGTTGTAAAAAATCTGAAGAACCACTGGGCCAGGAAAGCTGAAAGTTATGTGGAAGCTTTCTTTGGTAATGTACATCTAGATTCTAAATTATAAAATCCATGACCACTGGGGGAAGGGTGGGGCCACAATAGGGAATCAAAGTTTTACATTGAAATATATTCGAAAAAGTCATTAAAAAATTCTTCACAAGAACCATTTGACCAAAAAACTGAAACTTATGTGGAAACTTCCTGAGATAGTGTCGATTCTAAATTGTCAAAGTCATGGCCCCCGGGGGTGGCTGCAGGGGCCATAATATATAGGGAATAAAGGTTTTTCATTGAAATATACAGGCGAAGTCTTTAAAACTATTCTTTCCATGAACAGCAAAACCTTGATGAATCATATTTCTGAGGAAGAATCATTTAGTAGTGTAGATTCATTTTTGTTTATATCAATTAAAGCCCCTGTGAGTTGGATGGGGCAACAAAAGGCAATCAAATTTACAGGATGGACAAACGAAGGTAATATTGTATGACATGTATGGCCAAAAAAAAATAATCAATAGTTTCAAAAATTGCCACATTAATCAACTTGATTGACATATTGAGAAGGAAAACTATATATTGTTAACTAAAACATTCTTGTGACGTCATCTTTTGTTTAATATTGTCCAGAAAATTTCTTATTTTCCTGAGCCCTGTCCAACATGCTACCCAAAGGTGTCCAATAAGATTAGACTTATTGGACGGCTACAGGTAACAATGAAATGAAAACAAAATGTGATATAGATAAATAAACAGCACTGACAAAGCTGTGATAAATCAATTTAATATGAGCAGTGTAAGAAATTAGCAATGTAAATATCCTATCAATGTAAATATCCTATTGAATCCAAGGTAAAATGAATGTCTTGCAGGAAATGTTGTAGAAGAATCTGTGTCATCCATTTTAAATTCCGTTGAAAAAAAACGTTTTTATTCATTTCATATAAATTGATACATGGAACATTCAAAGAGTATTGAGGACAAAAATGACGAATGCGGTTTCTTAACAGACATCCTTGGGTCTTTTTTGCTTAGTAGAACATCTATTTTTCTGCTTTTAACTATTCTGTTCCTGAAAATTCAATTGATTCTGTATGTAAGGCTGTGTTTTGTTAGATAATCTGTGGCTATTTTTTTGCTGGCCATCCAGTCCTGCATTGTTTGAGCTAGTGTCTCCTGTTGCTTTTGAGTGGCTGGAGTAAACTCCTACAAAACCTTACAACAGATTAGAATATCAGAACTAATAATAGTAGAAGCAATTAAACTGAAAAAAAATAGTTTGAATTAAATCATTTGAATCCTGTTGTTTTGAGAAACTGTTTCTTGCAAATTCCAAAATACAGGTAACTCTTGATGGCTCGAACTTCGATCTCTCGAAGTTCTTGATTGCTCGAAGTGAGTCTCCAGTCCCGAATTTTTCACCTATATAACTAAGCAAATTTACTCTTGATTTCTCGAACTCTTGATCTCTCGAAACCCTTGATCCCTCAAAGTCAAAATGCAGTCCTGCAACGCATATTCTATTAGAATTTACCCTCGATACCTCGAAGTGGCCTATGTGTATACAAGGTTATATAATTAGCACCTTTACCTGGACATTTAAATGGGCCCAGGCAGAAGATGCGGGTCTAGAGGAACAGGATGTTTATTCAGGTGACACTTATGCTGCAAGGTGATAATTGATTTATAATTAATCATATTTTGCCTATATACTATTAATATAATTATCATCAACTGTCTTACGATAATTTAGAGACGCAGTGTCAGTGAAAAGTAGTAATTGATTAAAAGACGAAACACTAATTTAATTTTTATTTCAAGTCAGTGTCAAAGTTAAATGAAATATGAAAAAGCAGAAACAGCCTAAATGTCAATATAATGACTATTATTGGACAAATACTTACAGAACTGCATTCAATGATCATGTTTGGAATAGTCAATGCTATGTACGACGCTGTAAAATGTCGTTTTCATGTAACGAATGCGTAGTATGATGTCCGTATTACAAAGAATAAATAAATATACATGAAATGACAATATACATTTTTTGCTTTACTCAGTTTAATGAAATATTCATCTAAATTACGAAAAAATATCGTTGTTTTATAAAAACCACGTGTAAACATCATAACATGGTAAAAGGTTAGCACTGCTTGAAAATCATTACATCCAGTAAAACTAATTTTAAAACCTGTCAACAAACCAGGAAAATTCCGGACTCTTGAAAACTCGAACTCTCGATCTCTCGAAGTTTTTCCTTGGTCCCGCGGACTTCGAGGTATCGAGAGTTACCTGTATAAGAATATCCTCAGATTTCAAAGAAGAAAACTTCAAGCTGAAATCTGCATTTTGGTGTTTTCCATTAATGGTCACTGTCAAGAATATCTGTTTCTGAAGAAGTCATTGATTAAATATATAGGTCGTCATCCGTGGTGTTGCATGGTAAAATAAACAGATTGTCAAGAATTAAACAGAATTTCCTTTTACGCATGTGAAGCGTAAAGTACAAATGTCGCAATGTGGATAAATAAGACTAAGCAAAGTTAATGTTCATATTAATTGATATAAAATGATTCCCACCATTGAAAAACTACATTATTAAATTCAAAAACTTGTTTCTTTGGCCTTACTTAATGGAGAGGATCAGGTTAAGTCATCCAAGCTGTACTAGACTAGTTTACCTGTGGATGTCCAATGCATTAACAGTGGAGGTTGTTTGACATTGGCGACACATTTTAGTAGGTTATGAGCCTCAAACTGACCATTATGTCAGATATTATTCTCTCCTCGGCTCTAACACTCTTCGGACCATCTAATATCTGACATAATGGACAGTTGTCGGCTTATACATGCAACCATGATTACATAAATATCCAAAAATGAAATAAATGTGTCAGACTCTGTGGTGTCCATTGTATCAATGGTATGAAGGGGTAAACATGATAAAAAAAAATGAATTCTTGTTATTCACATACCGGTAAAAATCAGTTTGATAAAAAAAAAAAAGAAGCATAAGAAGAGAAAGAAATTGCAAAAGTAGATTTTGGAAAATTAATAAAGAAATCGACACCTTACCTAAAAGTATCAT